ATCTTCTTCCATGATCCTGATGGCTTCATGATCGAGATCTGCAACTGTGACAATCTTCCTGTTGTTCCTCTGCCTCCTGGCGAGCATGTGTCCCCGGCTTGCAGGCGAGCTGGCTATCTCCAACCCAAGCAGAAAGTGGTGCAGTGTCTCTCCCCGGCCGCCGCCGATTCTCATATCTCCTGTGTGTGACCGATGAAACTACGAGAAAATATTACTTCTGGGCATCATAGGTGTAGATTGGTGGTATTACAATAACATTATAAATATCATCAGAATACTACCATATGTGTTATTTTGATTATATTTTAGTATAATACCATCACAATATCACCAGAATATTATAAATTCTGATCTTCAAGCTACATTGTCCTATAATGGTTATAGTTGAAAAGTCTCATTGCATTTTGTTAATTAGCCTTTGATGTATAGTCTTGAGTGGGTCTTTGTTGGTACAACAATGTATTGGGAAAGTAGGAAAAGTTGGGTTCGTTGTTTTGTCCGAAGAGACTTTGTAGCTTCTATCGCTTTCAATCTTAAAAGTTCTCATGCAATAAAATATTTTTTTTTTCTTGTGTTTTAGGAGTAGAATAATTATTTTAAAATACTTTATTGATGAACTCATTTTCCTTTTTGTTTTTTTTAAACGTTTTTAATGTTGTTTTTTTCTATTTGAATTGTTAAAATATGACAATTATTTTCAATTATGATTCTACGCCAACGAAAGCATATGTACAACAAGGATATTGAAGCCGACGAGCTCCACTTCGCTCTCCTTTGCTGCTTCTCATCTCTAAACCAGAGTCATTATCGGATTCTCTACGATGGTTGTCGACGGACGGTGAAATGTAAGGATTTTTTTTGATAAAAAATAATTAAGTAATAAATGAAGTAATTAATAACTTATTTAATTAATTTAGGTAATTAAAATTAATTAATTAATGCAATCAATTGGGGTTTTATGGCAAATTTAGGGAAAAAGCCCAAATTAAAAAAAAAATTGACATACATCTAAGAGATGCACAAGAATGTAAGAGATTTATCATATAAACATGGAGCTCTAGTTAGCCCTAACCAAAGTTTTATTCTGGTATAATGATTTTACATGAAGATTTTGGACTGTTGTTGTTTAGGTTCAATTTAATTTGAGTTTAGATTAATTTAGGTTTAAATTGGTTTGATTTCATTTAGATTAGGGTTCATTTAGGTGTTTGTTTGACTTTGGTCTTAGTTTTAGTTTAGGGTTCACTTAGGTTTAGTACACACACATGCATCCAAGCACACACACGTGTGGTGTGTATGTGTGCTCTATGCATGTACATTTATGAATTCAACCTCACTCATACATGTATAATGTATATACATATATCTATATATGTGCAATACATATATACAGGTAGAGATATGTAAACACAGATATATGTGCATATGCATGTATACAGGCACACACACACGCACACGCACACGCACACGCACATATCACCTAATCCCTGCATATTTACATTTCTAACTCCTAATTTGTTACAACCTAAATCCTACATATGAGCTATTATTTTACCATAAAAATGAAATATACTTTTCCATGCATAAGATGAGATGACAGGTATATAAAAATTGAAGTCTACATGTTGAGTAAGTAAATATATAGGAAATTGAACAATATGTATGTCGACAAAAATATTGTGATTAATAAGCAACATAAGTTCTGTAGTTATGTCGCCGCGAATAACCCAATGCTAGATCGTCGATAATTAACATTATTACGGACGAATAAAATCGCTGGTTGTTAAAAAAAAAATTTATTAGCACCCTGCCAAATGACGGGCTCATGAATAACTGACGCAATATGACTGTCGGTTAATATTTAGGTATCAGTAATGATTAAAATCATCAAAAAAAAAAATAATATTGAATAAATTTTTTCCTTTATGATCCTTTATAAGCTCTCACAAAAACTCATGTTTTTCTCATGCTAAATATGCGTTGGGAACCACTCATCGTTTATTGGGGATAGCTTGGAAGTATGCTTATATTTGATGATTGATGAAGCATAATCAAAACAAACTGCATATTTTGTCTCTATTTGATTGTATGATTGTGACTATGAATATCACCATTCTAGAAACTAATGAATATGTTTTAATAAGACCACGTTTGGACAAACAAATTTTGTAGTACTATTAATATGGACATGATCATGCCTACTCCATTTCAAAGGAAAAAAAAGGACAAATTTCACAAATAAATATGAAGGGTGTGTTTGGGATCATTTTTATTTTTATTTTATTTTTTAATTTTACTTTTGGTTTTGCTTTTAAGAATGTATTTTGTTTCATACATTTTTAAGTGTTTTTTTTTTATTTTGTTTTAAAAATTGATGTGAGCGAGGAAATTCACGGTGTTAGAATAATAGATTATCGTCTTAGTGCTGCACGGGTATTCAACAGACACTCAGGTAAATGAAAATAACCAGTAATGACACTAGAAGTTCTTACTTGAAAAACTTGTAAAGAGAAAAAAGAACGGGGTCTGACCCAAATGTGAAAAGCCACTATAGGTTGATAATTACAGAGACCCCTTGTCCCACAGCCCAAATGTGAAAAGCCACTATAGGTTGATGATTACAGAGACCCCTTGTCCCACAGACGGGAAAGAGCTACTAGGCTTTCCAAGTTAGGGTTACTAGGTTTTCCAAGTTACAATGTCGACTAACGACTTTAGATTTGTGGTGGTCGATGTTGATTGGTGGTGATCGACGGTGGTCAGCAGTCGACGACGGTCAATTATGGTTGAAGGCGTCAGATCGACAGTGGTCGACAGTGATCGACAGTGATTGTCGGTGATCAACGGCGGTCAGCGACCGCTGTCGACGACCTACAACTATCCACGGTGGCAGTGGTGGTGCTGGATTTCAACCTTTTTTTAAAGTTTAAGTTCTCTCTCAAGCCTTCAATCTCATCTCATAAGAGGGGTAAGCTCTATTTTATAGTGTTCTCGGTGCAATTACGACATGAATATGATTTACTTTGATCAGACAGCCCGGAGAGCTTGCTTCGATTTGACGGTATTTGATGGACATATGAGTGTCCTAACAATATCGAAATTGAGCAATCTTGGGCTTGTTGGATTCGTTCTGTCGAAACGCTCGATTCGACTATAGACTTGTAGATTCGACATTCATTTAGTCTCTAAATATACTTTATTTGACTTGGATTGGATTAATTTTGATAACATTGGGTTCTTCGTGTCAAGTCGGTCAGTTTGACTGTAATTTTGCTGAAATCAAAGTTTTGGATGAGCTTTTATCGAGGTTTGAATATTTCTTGCTCAAAAAACCGCATCGAGATCTATATCATGCCTCGAGATTCATGTCAGACGATGGACATTTGCTGGAGATGTCTCAAAAATAAATCAACATATTAGAAGATACTCAAGATAATATTTAGATGTTTAGGTTCTTTTTAAGATAATCACCATCATTAAACATATTTTATCTCAAATATAAACAACAACAAAAAAAATAAATAAATAAAAAAAACAAAAGAGATCTCATTTGTGATAATTTGCACTCTAAAGTATTGATTTTCTTAAAAAGATGTTTAGGTCCCTTTTAAGATGAACATCATGCATGTATATACTCTCTAAAGTATTGATTTTTTAAAATAATCATATATATTTAAATTTAATTTATATAAAAAATATATTTTCCAAGCCTAACCATTTCGTCTATGATAATTCGAGTTAAATTATTGTAACCTTAAAACTCGAATTAAAAATAAATAAAAAAATAAATAAAAGAAAAACTTTAAAACTCCAATATTCAATTGGAATTTAAACTAAAGCACTTCACTTGAAGACAAATCGAAGCCACCACTGGCAGCTCCAAAGCATATATCTCTAAAAATATTTACTTTAAATTGTATGTGGACTAATAATGCTTCAAGGGTTTTGATTGTCCGAATGTATTCTAAAATGTTACATTCGTACGAGCGCTTATTTTGTTCGGGTTGCGTCTGGTGTCCAATCATAAATTTTTTTTTTAAAAAAATAAATTAAATTAGGGCCCACTGACATACAATTTTGATAGGGAAAAGTTATTTCATACGGACAATATATGCAGAAATGCATACGATGTTCGATCTCCACCGTTCATCACAACAGAGATGTATAATGGTGGGTCCTATTTTTTAATTATTTTTTTTTAAAAAAAAGTTGATTGATGGTGGATGGACGGTGGAGATCGGACACCGTATACCTTTCTGCATCTGGTGTCCGTATGAAATAATTTTTTCTTGGTAGGAGTGTTTTGATTGGTTCACCGTACGCATTTATGTATAATGAACGTATGTAATAATTTTTTTTTTTTTCAAATTGGAGCAAATATTACGTGCGGCAACTGCACTTCCGAATGATGGTTCAAATGAACTGCCATCTATATATGACTACGTGATCGCATTCAGACCATGCAATAGCTGAACATGAAGTCTGCCAATTTACCCTCTTAAGGGATATATATATATATATATATATATATATAAAGGGAAGATTTACGTACATTATTTACACATCTATTAGCAGACTTGAATTTTTATATACATGTCATCTTATCTTTAAAATGATAGCATTTCTTGTCTTGTATGTAAGATTTAAGTGATATAAATGTAACAAATTAGGTGTCAGTAATGTAAATAAGTAGGGATTAGGTGGTATGTTTGTCTATGCCTCGTTAAAAAATGAAGTGGCGGAGAAGGCAGCGTATGACGTAAGTTAACAGGCATTACATCACCACACGTTTGACTGTTCTTCTCACGTGCCGTGCCCGATAGCCGTTGACTCCACATATTCTACTTTTGCATGCAGTATCTTATAACCATGCAGCATGCAGATATTCTCTCTATAAATGTGAACTTGTATCTTACTTTCTCCCTCATCTTCCTATTCTGTCTCTCTCTCTCTCTCTCTGATTTTCAAAGTGTAGAGAGAGAAGAAAGGGGAAGGAATTGATGGGGAGAAGGAACGGTGGTGCTCTCTCTCTAAAATCATTGAACCATATATCTCATGTATGCAATTGCTTGGAGAGAACCGTCCATTTCTATCAGAATATATTGGGTTTCCTCCCCATCAAGAGGCCGGACTCCTTTGACTTCGAAGGTGCTTGGTATGTCATATTTCTATTTTAATTAAATATTTCATTATGTTTTCCATATCCCAATGGAACAAAAGAAGCATGCCTTCGCTCGAAGATTGTTAATCACTCGAAAATTGATTTAAATTTTGGCTCAGATCGAGATAAACGAGCCGAGCCGCGGGCTAAAAATTTTGGATAGAGTTTTTTTCATACTGGTTTTGAACGGATCTCAGCTCGGCTTGAAATCAGTTCTTTAATAGTCCTAGTGATGCTAGGACGGTGAATTTAGCGAATTTAGATTGAACATCATTAATCGCTCGAAAATTGATTCGAATTTTGGCTTGGATCGAAATAAATGAGCCAAGCTATACGAGCCACAATTAATTTGGAGCGAACTTTTTTCGAGTTGATTTTGAGCCGACTCTAGCTCTGCTCGAAATCGAATCATTACTAGCCTTACTTTTAGGCTTCGTTTGAAGTCGCGTCAACGTTATGTCAATTTCTTTAAAAAAACTACATTCGTCGAGCTGGAGAAGCCCGGTTGCGGCCTGAAACTATGAAAAATTTACTCTTTCTTGTGAAAGAACTTTGATCCCCATTATTTCACCAAACTAAAAGATTTCGAGGCCTCGCGTTCACTCCAACCGAACGGAACTTCATCGTCTTCTCAAACGAAACCTTAGCTGTTGTTCGGCTGCAAGTAAAACTTAACCGCGTTAGTGTTTTGAATTAGTAAAGACGGATTTAAACCGAATCGAAAGCAAAATTAGGACTATTAGATCAAAATGTTAATAAATCGAAGGAACTACTATATTTAATATTTTGGCTGGATTTAAAAAAATCTGATAATAAATTCAATTAAAACGCATCATCAAACAGCCCCTTAATGTGAAACAAACGTTACACTTAACGGTCTAATTGTCTTTGCTTAGGCTTTTCAACTATGGATTCGGCATCCACCTGCTGCAAAGTGAAGAACCCAACTGCATGCCCCAAAATTACGAGATCAACCCGAACGGCAATCACATCTCTTTTCAGGTATGTATCACTCAGATCTTCAATAAACCTGCTTCTAATTATTTTTTTGAAATATTTACATATTTACCACTCAATTCCTATGTATTTATATATCTAACATTAAAAATTTAATTTTTACATACATATCGCATTACATGTGCATGGGTGGTATAAATGTAAAAGTTAAAATCTAGGTGCCATATGTAAATACATCAAAATTAGGTGGTATGCATGTTCTAAGCAAATTATGAGCGATAAAAAATAGACCATGTTATTTTCATCAAAACTACGCCTACAAGTACCTTTTTTATATGCCTTTTTATCTACCTCATATTGATAAAAGAAAAGAAATATAGTCGATGTGCTCCACATTAGTTTGTTTTTCGTAAATAATTCGTGTTCGGCTCGTTAAACAGCTCGTATTTGATTCATTCACTAAGCAAACAAGCTGAACACGAACAAAACTTTATTTGTTCGTGTTCAACTCATTTTAGCTTGAAATAATTTAACTGATTATGATTTAAATCTCGCCCATACTCTAAACATCTTATAATTGTGTGACCAAGCTTGTCAAAACAGCTGGTTCGGCTCCCTAAACAAACGAGCCGAATACGAACAAATTTTCTATGCTCGATATATAAACATCATGATCATTTTTAACTTGTACTAGTGCGAGAATCTGGCTATGGTGGAGAAGAAACTAAAGGAGATGGAAATCAGTTACATTCATCGGAGAGTCGAGGAATGGGGATTACATGTTGACCAGCTTTTCTTCCATGATCCTGATGGCTTCTTGATCAAAGTATGCAACTTCGAGAACCTCCCGTTGATCCCTCTACCAGTTGGCCAGCATGCAATGGTCAACGCATTCATGCAGGCAGGGCAGCTACCACCTCAAGCTGTAATAGCAGAAGCAGCAGTAGCAGAAGAACATAACAATGCCATTATACTTCATAGTTGTTGAAGAAGACTGTTACACATTAAGAATGCGTTTTAGGCAGCTTCCGCTTTATCCAGATAAGCCGCTTATCTGAAAATGCGGACCGCGGGGTGTTACCCGTGTTCCACATTTAGTGTAAAAATCATCTGCATTTCCGGATAAGCTGCTCAAATGCATTTTCCAAATGTTGAGGCGGTGTTTTCAAAACATCTTAGCGCGGATAAGATGCCCCAAACAGAGCCTAAATCATTTGCATATGTTTAGGGTGTTAATTAGTGTACCATTGTAACCATTTCATGGAAGTAATTAATGGGCTAATATTCTGTTGCTACACAATGCATATTTAGTTATATACAATAATACCAATAATCCAAAAACATAGAATTTTTCCCAACAAAAGCGAGCTACAAATGAAACATAAAAAATGCTATCAACCAAATCAAATCTGATATCAATATGAAATTTATCAATCAGAAAGATGAAAAATAAAAAATTAAAAGCGAAAGAGCTCAGTGCTGCTAGATTGACTTTGTTGAAGCATTTTTTTTTATTAATGCAGATAACTTATTACAAAGGAACCACAAGTTCATGTCAAGTAGTTTCATAGGAAGTCATAATTCACAATTGTGTTCTGCAAAGTTGGAGCATAACAAAGGCAATAGAGCTACAGTTTATTTAGAATGTAACGTTGCAGATAGTTAAGGCTTCAAAAACTGCACCCCACACAAAATAAATAGAGCAAATATCAAATGGAAACTTTGTTCCACCACTGCAAGATGTCTAACAATACACAAAATGAAAACATGACTTTAAACTTGTTCTACATTTCCTTCTCCAACAGCTTGGAGTTGTTGTTTTTTCTATCGCAAAAGTTCAGTCTTTCTCCTCAAAAGCATCTATATGGTATCGACATTGAATTAAAGAATCAGCAGTTGATGCCACATTGTCCAGCAGCTGCAGCCTTCTGTGATGGGGAAGTGAAGGGATCGATACGCACCCACAAGAGCGAGAATATCGACGCGAGAAGAATCGACCACACAATGACTATGGTGGGTGTTCGGTTTTGTCGTCCCAATAGACCCTTGAGGAAAGGATAGAGATGTACAATGACCCAAAATGAGAAGAATAGTTTTCCAAAGAGAGGACCCCAAGACTGATATCCACTGTTGATGGCATAGGAAACACCAGCAACAATCCCCACCATGTTTATAACCAGGACTGTGGTGGGAGGAATAAGGAGGCTTGTCCATTTGAAAACATAGAGCTCAAAAAACTCGCCGTCTTCATCCGATGCTTTGGATGTGACAGTAAAGTTTGTATCTATACCAGCAAGTACCTTAAGAAGCCCTTGAAATACGGCGAAAAGATGAGCGGAGGTGCCGCCAATCACCCAGAATTGCTCATTTCTCCACCAGTCCTCAATTCCGACGCCACTCCACTTCAGCTCGAGAATTCCAGTAGCAAAGATAGATGCAAAGAGGAGAATGAACCACATGCCAGCGTAGTTGCTTATCTGCGCATTTCAACACAGTCGAACATCAATGGTTTTGTAATCATATAGCATTGCAATGCAAGATAATGAGGTATGGCAAGCAAGATCACTTGTGCAACCCTATCCACGTGTTGCTAGTTACCTGTAAAGGCTAAGAATACATATCTTTTCCCATCTGGCCTGTTTCTTAATGAATATAACCAGGTAAGAAATTATGAAAGATCATTAATTTCATGCATATGCCAACTAAATATTCGATTGCATTCGAGTAGAAACTAACATAGACTCCAAATAATATAATATTTTTAGCAGTTGAGCACAATAAGAGAACAGATGCAGCACTCGCCACTTGTCTCGAAAAAATGAAAAATTGGGATTTATAAATCAGGACGTAGTTAGTTAGGATGATGTTCATAATGACAATGTGATAAAGAAAAAAAAACTAAGCTGAATTCATTCAACAACAATGTTCAACACATTAATCTGTATGTCGGCGATCATCATGAGCTGAAATATGAAGAGGTAACTTGTCTTATTACCAACCTCAGGAATGATAAATTTGCCTGTTAGAAGGCATATGGCAGGGAGCACACAATAGGCAATTAGTGGAATGGATGTGATAGGATAAACTATGGTGTTGATATATGATATCCTTGACAGAAGCTTCAACCTTCCACGATAACCATACCAAATGGGACAATGCCTGCTGAGCAATATTTCAATTGACCCCAGGGCCCATCTAAGCACTTGGTTAAGGCGATCAGAAAGATTGATCGGAGCGGAACCTTTGAACGCCGGGCGTGGTGGCATGCAATAGATTGATATCCATCCGCGAGCATGCATTTTAAATCCAGTCAAAATATCTTCAGTGACTGAGCCGTAGATCCAACCAATCTGGGAAACATTTTTTATAAACTCAGTGAAGCTTTTTTTGAATGCTTTTTCATGCTATGTTATTTGAGAATTTATTCAACCAACCTCTTTTCCCCATTCAGTTTTATCCTCATACCCACAGCTAATAACATGGATGGCCTCCTGAAGTAGTGATGATGGATTGGTAGATGCTGGGATGCCTCCCTGCTCCATGAATGTGGATGCAATAAAAATTGGTGATTGACCAAATCGCTTCTCCAGTCTCTTCTGGGACATCAACAGAGACCTCTCCTCTTCATATCCTACATAGTTGATAAGATGATTATGAAGTCAAATACAAAAAAAAAAAAAAAAAAAAAAAAAAAAATCCACACAAAATATCATGCACTGTTCATTGGCATCCCCGATTACTTATTTAGATGATAATTATCCAAGTTACTATTTGACCAAAAATTTATAGCTCATTTCATCATTTTGATTTATAAGATAGTTTTTATATAGTACAATACATTTCATAAATTTGGTAATACTTGCACTTCAATTAACTAGAGGATAAAAATGCCTTAGTGTGTCAGATTCCGCTATGCATCTTGGCTATCACTGCAACCACAAGTAAACCATGCAAAAAATTTTCTCTTGAAAGCAGCCTACCCACATTTGAGAGACTTCAGTTGTCGACTACCAATATCAAATTCTTCATACCAGGACATTATAATTGAATGTACCAATTAAACCCCAGAAGCAAAGAGTAGGTAAGGAAATGAAAACTTCTAACATATTCATCAAACCTGTCAAATTTGAAAGTATGCCTACACAAGATAGAACAGTAAACACATGTTCCCCGAAACGACATTGATCTACAAATACAATGAAACTTCACCATATTTTTTAGTTTTAGCGTGAGGGCGCTTAGCAAAATTCAATTGCAGAAAAAAAAAAAAAAATCTTGCAAAGCAAATTGAAGAAAGACTAATATTTACCTGCTCACAAATGTACGTGTGCGTGTGTGTGTGTGTCTCTCTCTCTCTCCCTCTCTCTCTCTCTCTATATATATATATTAAAAGAAATGACCCGAGGCTAATCTAATATTTACCTGCTCACAAATGTACGTGTGTGTGTGTGTGTGTCTCTCTCTCTCTCTCTATCCCTCTCTCTCTCTCTCTATATATATATATTAAAAGAAATGACCCGAGGCTATTATACGAGCCTCTAGTCATCCCTAATGTGCCTAACAATTTGAGTACCACCTCCTTAAGACCAATTGTGCCAAAGGGGATTCGAACCCCCAGGTCTTATAGAGCGGATGCCAACCAATAGACCGGGTACGTGGCGCTATGTGTGTGTGTGTGTGTGTGTGTGTGTGTGTGTGTGTGTGTGTGTGTATATAGAAGAAAACTAAATCCATTTGTAGAAAAAAAAAACCTTGAGTCTTACGCCATGTGCTAATTCAAACAGCCCGTCAGAGTTGAGATTCGAACCTCGACCCAAGGGTCTCACGCACGCACGCTTGTGCGCGCACGCGAGCATGCACGCCTGCCCGTCCGCCCGCCTAGTGTGCCTAACAATTCAAGTACCACCTCCTTAAGATCAACTGTGTCATATGGGATTCGAACCCCCGACCTGAGAGGTCTTTTACAGCGGATGCCAGCCAACATAGAAACAAAATTCAATTCAACTCCTCCGACATCACATATCAGCACCTCCCATACCCGCATTGCCATACCTCATGCCACAATAAGAGATTTTACTGTGCCACTAGCTCAAGTAATATCAACCAAAAAAATCAACAAAAATTTATTAGCATCAATAAAACCATGATTGAAATGCTTACCTTCGACACCTTCTTCAATGTCTTCTGTATTAAATATGGGCACAGTAGATTCAGTCCTCTTAAGAGCCCGCTTTTTATCAATATAGCTCTTATTCATACCATTTCCTTTCTTTCTTGAACCACAGCAGCTCTTAATGATTATATTAGGTTCCAAGTCAGCCTCAGTCAAGACAGGATCATACCCATACAAGGCTTGTCTATTAAAACAGCATCCTGTGCCCACATAGACAGGGCCCTGTAAGCCATCTAAACCTTTCATGTTGATCTGCAGGCAATGTTAACCTATTAGAAAATATATTTAGTTTATAACGGATATATGTATACGTTGTCAATTTGTTTCTTACATCAAAAAATACAATATTGCGATTGGCATATCTATCATGTATATCAATGCCATCAAACCTCTGAGGAAATTGAACATAACATGTCTTTTTTCCTAGCGCTGGATCCATTAAGAAGCACATCGCTTCTCGAAGAGCTTTGCTGTTGTTGAAGTAATGGTCACAGTCAACATTAAGAAGAAATGCACCGTTTGTTAGAACAGCAGATACTCGAATCTGTTCAGCACAGGAGAATTGGCATTCATGAAAGAATGTCACCTTGTTCTTTGTAAAGCATGGTAAGGGCAGTAAAAAGACATTGATGCAAACATGTTTTATATGGATTATACATTGGAATTAGAAATTAAAAAAATATGAGCTGCTTAACAGAAATTGAATATGAAAAAAAACTTCCTTTTAAAAGAAAGATAAAGCATGCGAAAATTTTATAAAAATATGGGGGGTATTATAATAAAATGGAAGCTATATGTTTGAAGTTAAAGAAGGTGAATTTTCCACATATTTAAAATGAATAGATACCGAGAAGGAAAGTCTTTCTAAAATAATTTTTCTGTATAGAAATTATGAGTATAATATGCAAATTTGCTAATAAAGGATAAATGAGAAAGTCTACATACCAGCGCATTCATAGCACCTGCTTTTTTGTGATGTTGGAAGCCTGGTCTCTTCTCACGGGAAACATAAACGAGTCGTGGTAGCTCATTACCATCTACATCAAGTCCACCACTGTGTCCCAAAAAGACCTGTTTCTCATAAATAAAGCATAACATAATGAGTCCGGAATTAGTAAAAACAAACAAACTACAGCTAAGAAGGGTACCTGGATCATGCCAGGGTGATCTCTTGGATTGTTTCCAGGCCAAGAAGTTCCATCTTGCATAGTCCAGCCTTCTTCAGGGGTTTTCTGTGCTTTAGCTACTAGAGCATTTATGCGCACTTTGAACTCCTCATATTCCCTCTAAAATGCAAAGTTAACAATTAAATGCTTTTGAAAACTTGAAGAATAAATTGAATTAAAAATTATTAGTTTGCACACCTTCATTGCCCTCCTTTCTTTCACAAATGAAGGCTGGATTTTGTCTTTCAAGTAATCAATCTTCTGTGAGAAGTAAAATTCAGGCGCTCGTGGTTCAATGTTGTGTTTTTTGCAAAATGGGACCCACTTCTTAGCAAACTCTGCCGTCTCTGAAAGCGCTTCAAATGTCAACATTGCAGAACCATCATCTGATACATAGCATGAAACCTTGTCGACGGGGTAGTCCACCGCAAGAATAGAAAGCACAGTGTTGGCTGTTATGAGAGGGGGTTCTTTAAGAGGGTCCACCGTACTGACGAAAACATCAATGGAAACCAACTGCGAAGGCTCTCCATCCCTATCATATCTGTAATGTAAAAGTTTCAATCATTTGTGTGCCTTAAACTGAGGGACTTTTTGGATCACTAAATCACTATGTAGTGATATATTATTAAATATATGTATAAAGAGCAGCTGTATAACTGACATATAGTTTTTAATCTCATCACATCGCAATGTCGGCCAAATTTGTCAAAATCAAGATGTGAACTTACTTAATGATTAAAATAAATGATAATAAAATAAGTACATAAAAACAGTTGACTTTTTTAATAAGATTACATTGTTTGAGTAAGATAACATTGAGCCAAACACACTGTATTTGATGGAAAGAATTGTTCACTGAATAACATACTTATCTAAATAACACTACTGTATGCATTACATTGAAACAAATAGCTCCTCAACTTTAAAAAAAAACAGTAAAGAACAGGGGAAAAAATAGAAACCTTAATGCAAGCCTGTCCAGATATGTTTCACGATTGATTGGATACCATTTTGGGAATTGATCCAGCAGCCATGATACAGCAAACCAAAACTCGCAAATAACTGATGTTAGCCACAATGGGTAAGCATTGGGCACCGGATGTGTTACTCGATACTGGAAGAAAAAGCACAGGATGATGAGCCGACATATGATGACTAATCTGTAAAGGTTGAGCTGGTTGGATGGAAGAGGAACTACACGGCTTAGAGGCTGGCGAGCATCATCAGCCCTGTAGAAGGCGCAAAAGAATGTGAAACTGTCACAAATATCCATGCTGATCTTTGAAAGAAAAAAAAAGAAAAAACAATTCAAGGAAATTCATCATCATCATTGTTTTCATTAGCTTAAATTCCTACAATTTGGAGTTGGCATATGATCCTCATTTCTCATTCATTCCTATATAACCCTTTATCGCAAAGAAAATATTTCTATTTGTGATGATTTAAAATTGTTTAGATAAACTGCATTAGAAGAGAGAAAAACTTAATTTCATTTCCATACACCATTGCTCAACATTCTAAGATAAGAAAGCAAACAGTAAAGGCTCATTTAGTTGCTTAAAGGTATAAAACATATTTTTAAAAAGTAGTAACTGTACAAGATTATACAAATTGTTTGAATGAATGTATTGATTTTGGACTGAGCAAATGCAATCAAATCCATCAAATGAGTGATGATTTCATTTTCAGACATAAAACGAGTGGAAACAAAATCCTTATTTTCTAGTACATGTTTCTAATGAAAAGCAACCAAGTGAGCCCTAACGAAATAAATAAAAGGATTTTGGTAGAAGGCTCTTTAAAAACAAAAGAGAAAAAAAAAGGCATGCTTCTTCATACATTTGAAGATCTTCACCATTTGAACCAGTTCCTTCAATGTCTCCTTTGCCATCAATGTATTTGCTAGGTACATGCATAATATTTTTATCCTGCTTAAGTTTCCAACCCTCAACTCTTTCCTTCCAGTCAACACTTCCCAGCCCGTATGAGTTCAAATCCTTTGATGGGTCGACAATCCTTACAGGAACTGGATCACATTACAATAGACTCAAGCCCAATAGATTTGAAAATCTAGGAAGCACTGAACTTCACAATGCAGCAGCTATAAAGTTACCTGGCAAGCTAGGATCGAGATATGTAGGACCGCGCTTTTCATGGGATCCCAAAGGACCTGATTGACTCCGAATAGATAGATTATCAGGTGTGGCATCAGTCATTTCTCCAGAAAACTACAATTAACAGAAATGTGGTGAGAACGGCTAAAGATACTAATAGAAAAGTGTGATATTTTACAACCAAGATTGAAATTGAGATTTGAAGCAGAGCTTCAATTTTTATTTAGTAGAAAGCAAATGAAAGTGAGTTCCTATTTTTGGCACTGTTATAAAAGTGAGAAGCTAATTTCACTTAAGGTAGCTTAAACGTCACATTCATTTTTTACTTTTCACAAAAAAATAATTTACTAACAAAAAAAAAACATTAATTACATTCATAAAAATAGTGAACTAATATAAATTAATGAAATGATCAGTAAAAATGAAACTTACTACAGTCCAAATAAACTTGAAACTAAATCTTTAAGTGAGTTCATGCAAAACAAACAAACGTTACCGAATTCACTTTTAAAACTCACCTCCAACCACTTGCAAATATTTCCCTTGAATAAAAGGGCTCTTAAAGAAGTTATCAGAATAGAATATTAATCAGAGCACAAAAAACAGCTTTAAAACGTGTGAAAAATAATAGAAGTTCAACGATGATAGTAATGATGATAATAATCAATACACACATTTAACAAAGTTTGATTATATGATTGAACCTTGTTGCTTTTTCATAGAACTTACCTGTTGCCCACTAGTTAGCCTTAATATGCGATGATAAGGTTCATGCCTAGATGATGAAGAGAGTTCAACAACTTCTTCCCTGCCTCCCGACCAAGGATTTGTTGCCTTATTAGTTGCTTTAGGGTGACTGAACTCATTATCCAGATCATCAACGTCATCCTCTTCATCATCACCCTCAACTCGAGGGCTTCCTGATACGCAAAGGTGTATTTAAGAAAATAATACAAAGTGCCATTCCAAAATGCAAAAACCAAACAAATTATAGTTGCAAGCAAGCTCACCAATATGTCTCTTATATCTGGTCTTGCACTGGGGACAGCATTTATTCCCTTCCTTTCTTTCATACTCGTAACAAGGTCGGCAGACTGGGAAAGCACATTCATTACAGGCAACAAAAACATCACCTTTTTCATTAAGGCCAATAGTGTCACCACAGATCTGACAAATTTGGCCGTTTAGGTTTTTCAAAGGTTTTGGCTGCATTGCAAAGGAAAAATTCAAGAAGAATGATACAAAAATATAGCCATGGAGAAACCTTATGAAATAAAATTTAAAAAAGGTACAAAATTTGGAAAATAGGGAGATAGAGCAAAAAGCTAAAAACAAACAGTTGCATCTGTTCTTTAGGTCCTTACAAGAAAATGCTACAACAAATAGGCATTTTGTAATCATGAGACTACTGCTGATACAAACTTTGGTTCTTCTGTAGGACAAAAGCATGGTTACAAAGCCACGCTTTGTCATAATTTAAGGATATGAACTCTATACCGGTTGTTTATTGAAACTACTGCTTAACCAAAATATAAAAATCAAGATTTAGATCTGTGAATATAAGCTTCAGTACATGAACTGAGAAGCTCAATATGTTGGGTGTGGGGAGAAGATTAAAATCTTGGGCCTCCCCTTTAGAGATCAAAGGCATCACTAAGCAACCAAGTAGTTGGTTGTAATATGTAAAAGGTAATTGATTCCAGTAAAATGAACGCATTCCATTACTCGAACACATTTTAAGCAATAGTGGAAAACTCGAAGAACAAAAGCCTCGGAATTTTTAGGTCCAAAGTTGTCCAGATAATCTTAGAGGGTGTTTGCTCAGCTACTCTCTCATAGACCGAGTTAATTTAAATAGCATCAAAGGCTCAGATTGAGGTAATCTATGAAGCAGCTGATATTACTATTATTTTGATTACTTCAAGCTTGGTGAATAAAACAAAAAATGATTAAAAGAAAAAAGACAAAATTTTGTTAGCCATTCAAAATTAAATAGACCACACTGCTCACTGAAAACCATTCTGAACCAACTATTTCCATGGAAGGAATAAAACCTGTTACTATTACAATGATGGAAGCAAGATACAGTTTGACAATCTAATAAGAAGATTTAACGTATTCAATTACCATAGAGTACCATTTCTCATGAGCAGAATCCAATTGTATCTTCACCACAAACACTCAAACCATGTCAAAGGATGAACATCAATGCATTGATCTTCCATTACCAAAATGCGATGTTTTTTTTTTCTTAGAAAAGAATGGCGTGAATGAGAAAAACGCTAGATTTGAAACTAGCGTTCATCAACAAGTAATATATCAAAAGCATTACAAAGCTTTGAAAGTATTAAAATAAACAAACTTTGATCCTAAATTTAGCCAAAATTGTAAATTTTATCAAGGTTTGCGGATCAAGGGAAAGCAACATTATCACAAACAAAACTCTGATCTACCAACCATAAACACCTCAAAATTCAAAAGAAACAATAACTAAACTTCATCATGAGGTTGTTGATTTGAATAACTCATATTGCCCTCTGGGGCCTTGGGCTCAACATTCCCGGGAAAAAACAAAAAAAAACTTAGCAGCCAATATGCGCTGCAAGGATTCATAAGATCCCGTGCTAAATCAATAAACTATTTAAACAGCAATATCAAAAAGAAATGATCCGATTAAGCAAGCAATCAGGTACAGTGCCCATAGCACAATCCTAGCCGAAACAAAAGGAAAAAAAAAAACCCAAAGAACGTAAGATCCACTCTGGATCTAACAAATTTGACTCCCAATTCAGCTTGCAGATCCAAACGCTACAGAAGAAACACATAAAACGATAGTGCAATAAAATAAAATCAAGAATTTAGTTCTTTTTCGAACAAGAACACGCACCGCCGAATCCCCTTCCCGGCGAATCATCACCAGCTCGTTCCTCTTGTAAGATCCGGCAACCATGCCCGCATTGGCCTCCATGGCTTCGAATCTCCAAACAAAACCTGCTTCTTCAACTACTTCACAGTGAGAACTTCACAAAAACATCTGCTTGCCAATTGAAAAAAAATGGGATCTGTCTTCAATTCTTCCCCAAGATTGCTCCTTCCTCCCTCCCTCCGCTGCATTCCTTCTTTCTTCTCTCACTATCTCTCCATCACACGCATTCTCCTCTTCCTCCTCTTATCTCTCTTCTGGCTTAACCTACTCCTACTATCCCCACTACTACTTCAATTTTTCACTAAATGACAGCTCAATTTTAAGAAATTATGCATAAAGTACCATATACATATAAATATTTATAAATATACCAGAGTGTTGATTTCTATCAAAATAGTTTTAAAATTTTAATTATTTGCTCTTTCGGATAAACTTTATATCTAATATTAATTTTAATATTTATATGCATGTAAAAAGTAGATTTCAATTTGTAAAATGTAAGACGAAGCCATTTTAGGATCTGTTTATGGGCAGCTGCAACTTATTGAATAATCTGCCGATAAGCTTATTAAAAATAATTGCTGATAAGCTAAGTGCAATGACTATTACAAATTTTTATTTTTTATTTTTGTAAAAGTAATACCGCAGCCAGAGAAGCTGCCACTACACCTAGATAGATGTTATGTGAAAACGTTGTTTTCAGCATTTTAAAAACGCATAAGCTGCCAGAACTCATTTTACCCAAGCAGGCCAGTCGCGTTTTCAAAAGACCACCACACCAAATAAGCTGACACAAACTGGTCCTTAGTATGATATAAATTGTTTGGGTGGTATAAGTGTAAGAAGTATGATTGGGTGGTAGATATGTAAATACATAGAAATTTTGCTGGTACATATGTAAATGCGCCATTATGAATTTCATAAATAAGTAAAAAATCATAAGCTGAATTTTGTCGTAAGAACGTATATAGGCCTCAATAATTGGTTACCAAATGCCAGCTTTTATATAAAAAATAAAAAAATAAATAAATAAAAAAATAAAATTAGTTGCGAAGGATTTTTCAGTCTTTGTCAAAACTGTCGGTGGATTTTAGTATTGATATTGTCCGTTGGATCTATCATCTGTGGTTGTCGTTACTCCGTCGCTGTCAATGCATCTGTTCCCCGCTACCGGCGATAGCAGGTTTTCGCTAAGCGCGACCGGGTTTCTCGGTGGAGCTGTCGGTGGTGGATCGAGAGCTTAGAATTTGTCGATGCTGAGCACGGCTGTAAAACGAGCTGAGTTGGAGTGAGTTAAGGTATAACTGGTGTTCGACTCGGTCGAAAATCAATTAGTGAAAAGTGTTTTCGTGTTCGGCTTCAAATTGGCTAGTTAAAATTAATTAGAAAAAAAATAGATGTAGGATATTGGATTCGAACCTGCACCATCTTTGTAAGAAAAAAAACACTATAGTTGTTACAATTTAAACTTACATATAAATATATATAATATATTATTATATAAATAATTTATGTAATTAATTTTTTTCGAGCGAAAATGAGCCAAACACGAGCAAACAAATGTTTTTTTTTTTTATGTTAAGCTCATTTATAATTTGAGCTTAAAAAATTTGTTCGTGTTCTGCGATTTTATGATTCGAGCTTAAAAAACTATTTTTGTTGGACTCATTTGCTTAACAAATGAGTCGAACACGAGCTACTTAACAAGTCAAACACGAGCTATTTGCGAACAACGAGCTTTTTCGACAACCTTAAAAAAATTGTTTTGTATTTCATCTTAAAAAATATTGAATCTCAATTATAAGATGATCATCAAAAAAAAAAAAAAAAAAAAAAAAAAAAAAAAGGTTTTAAGACGGCACGAAAGGGCACCGCTTTAAAGAGAATATCCAAAATTGGAAGCTAGAATTTCAGAACTATGGCCACAAAGAAGAAAATCAAAGACCTTTGGAAAAGTACCCAAGAGCATTAAAAGCTTAGAATTTCAGAATCAAAGACCTTTGGAAAAGTACCCAAGAGCATTAAAGCAAAATAACAAGCCATCCAAAAGAGTAAATGGCCTAAACCAATCAACAAAATTCAAAATATATAAAATCATAACTAGAAAATTGAAGCCTTGACCATGAAGAATATAGGCACTTCATCAAATATAATAGGGAGCAACTTGTGTGTATAGGAGTATCTGTAAATAGAAGCATACCATGACAAAAGACATACGAAATCAATAGAGAGCGGGAGTTCTAGTAAGAACCCGAATAGAGAAATTAGCTGTAGAAGTCTAAAGTATTTAAAGTAGAGGTTATTAATAATCGCAATCAATACTTTTTAAAACTTCTATTTTTTGTTTTTTTTTTTTATTTGATAGCAAAATTCACTTATTTAATAAGAGTGTCCATTAGAGGTCGTCTTTTTAAGAATTTTGTTTCTCTGAAGCCTGATATAATGAATAGTTATAGAAACAACTAAAAGAAAAAAAATATCTTACCAATAAAGTAGTCGATTGTATCAATATAAAAAGGTATTTGAGCTAATATATAAGCAATATGAAAGAAGTTCTCATCAGGTATACATTTTTTAAGGAGAGACGGAGAGAAAGAACTGTCAAAGAAGAGGTGAGAATGAGTTTCTTAATGTGCATTGCAAAGATCATATTATGGATTGACATTCAATCCTTACTTTAAAAGAGTGTCATTAACTTTTATTTCACTAATTAAAATTCTCTAAGCAGTAACAACAAACTTGAAATAGTACCCTTTCAACCAAATAAGATTGCAACAACGAGATTGGAGAGATTTTAATAAGAGTAGAGGCAAGCATTATAGTTGGAGAAAACATCTTTCTCTTTCTAATAGCATGTGCATGTTTTTCTATAATGACGATGTTATTAATAAGTTGAAGGCATTGATTAAAAGAATTACGGGCGGAAGGTAGAACCCACTTGTTGATATGAATGAGTTCAACAACTTTGATAAACATGGGACAAGTGAAAAATTGAACACTTGTTGACCAAACTTCTTAAAAAGAGAAAATTCATTGAGCAACAAATCAAAGAAGAAGAAGAAGAGTAAATTACTACTCTTGTTAACTTGTAAAGAAGTATTATTTCATAGTCTAGTGACTATTTAGCTTAAGGCTTTGCAAAATGGGGAAGATTTATTGTTGTTCTTATGTTATATTGACCTATACATGTTAAGATGCCAATCAGACGACTAAGAATTTGAATTGTGCCACAAAATATTTTTGGTCTTAATATAAGATTGTTAGTTTCTAAGTTAGGGAGGCTAAGTCCTCTGCATTTTTTTGGTCTGATAGTTATATCCCAAGTAATAGTGAGAATTTTATGTTCAACTCCATTGTCATGTAGGAAGTTGAATATGATAGAAGAAATCATTTCACTTAGACCCTTCGGGTATAATAATATATCTGAACCAGTAAAAAAATATAACTCCAAATTATAGATTTGTCGAACTAAAAGTTACCAGCAAAAGAAAACTATTTTTTCTTCCACTTCTTAAGCCAATATTGAATTTCTTTAGAAGTTTAGAGTAGTTAGCTGCTTTAAGTTTGAAGTGATTAATGGTGATACTAAGATATCCCAAGGGAGAGTTTTTGATGCGAACCCTATGAGATTGGTAATTTGGTGAGATATATGAGAATCCAAAACCATGGAAAAACATATAGAAGGCATCATTTGGATAACACATAGGTTAGTAGCCTCAAAAAGATAGTGAGAAAGTTAGAGAGACATTTAATAGATTATAAAAATATTTTTTCAAATAACAAAAGATTATCAACATATGTGAGCTGAGTATTTAGACTACCCAATAAAATCTAATATTATAGAAAAAAAGTCTATGAATATTGTAAATAAAGGTGAAAGAAGGCAACCCCGCCTCAAACAAAAAGAGGTTAAGAAATACCCTTCAAACTCTCCAATAATAATGATAAGGAAAGAAACTTGAGTGATGCATGATTCTAACCATGCAATGAAGCTATTAGAAAAGACCATAAGTCTTAGTCTATCAAAAAGAAATGAATGTTTAATTTTGTCAAAAGATTTCATGAGATTAAACTTAGTGTGGAATTATTTTGGGTGGGAATTAGAGTTAAAACCATATAACATCTCGTTAGAAAAAATGATATTATTAGCTATATCCCAATTAAAAATAAAAGCTACTTGAATAAGATGAATTACAGAGAAAATCAGTGGCTAGTCTTTCAACAAGTATTTTAATAATGACCTTATAAATTATATTACGCAGGAAGATATGTTGTTAACCATTGAGAGATTCAACATTAGAGGATTTGGGAGGGTAATAACCGAGTGCTTGGCTCTGTAGGGGAGCTTAATAGTAATAAAGAAATGTCTAATGACATGAATATGAGCAATTTTGTGTGTATAGGGGCACCACAATAGAAGCATAACATAAAAAAAAAAAGAAAAGATAAAGCAAACTAATAGAGAGTAGGAGTTTTAGTAAGGACCCAAATAAAGAAACTAAAAAAAGTGCGAATTATTAAAAGTAGAAGTTATTGAAAATCATAGGAAACACTTATTTAAACTTTCACTTTTTAAATTGTGGAAAATTTACTTACGTAGCACCTAATTCTTATTCGTTTACTTATTTCACATCCAAAATTTGATTTTTACATGATAAACACTCTAAACTATGTATGAAACGGTGGATTACACTATTGTCACCCTTTCATACATAGGAAAAAGGTGCTTGCAATGGAAAAATCAAAGTTTGGGTGTGAGATACGTAAATTTATAAGAATTGGGTGTTATGTCCGCAAATTCCCTTTAAATATTTTTATTTGATTGTAAAATGCATCTATTTGATAAGAAATGTTTTTATTTGATTGTAAAATGCATCTATTTGATAAGAGTATCAATGAGTCGACAACCTCCTTAAATTTTTTTATTTTTTTCAAGCAAAATATAATGAGCTATTATAGGAAATTCTCAAATAGTATTTATATTTTTTTTAGGAGAGAGAGAGAGAGATAACTTGTCAAAGAAGAAGTGAGAATGAGTTTCTTAATAGAAATTGTGAAGATCACATTGAGGGATGACATTCAATCCTCAAACAAGGAAGCCTCAAGTTAAATCTGAGCTAATCTCGATAAAAAATAAGGTCATTCCCAAACCATCTTGTTGTTCAATCATTTCCCCAACAGCTTGGAGCTTTACGACAAATTAAAAGAAATAAGTCATCTGTAGTTGGGCTACCTCCCTCCTGTGTTATT